ACCTGAACTGGAGGAAGTTCCTTACATCGAAAGGTTGGAGATTCCAACACTTAAGGAAATAAGAAATAGGGGGGATTTGATCGAGACATTTAAAATACTACATGGAAGTTTTACCTGTAACCTCAGTATTTTCGGGAAAAAGAAAAACGAACACCTGCGGGGCTGTTCTCAAAAATTATCTAAAGGGAAAAATAGCAGACTTGCGCAAAAAAATTTAGCCGGATTTCAAGAAGGTGATCTAGTGTGGCTGTATAATCCAACAAGAAATAAAGGAGTGTCGCCGAAATTGTCTTCAGCATGGGAAGGACCCTACAGAATAATCAAGTAGATCAATGATTTGGTTTATCGAGTTCAGCGCAACACCAGGACTAAGATGAAAGTTGTACCTCTGGACAGATTGACGAAATATCATGGGCGTGAAGTTGATCGGGACGATAAACCTTAAGAGAAGGGCAGTGTGGCGCTTTTGCCAGTATGAACAGAATCAAACTGGAAATCTAGAATTTACTGCCTTATTCAGGAATAGTATATTACAATCCGAGACGGGAAATGCTTCATTGCTGGTCGAGAGGTTTTATAGTTTATCGAGACGCGTAGTGTCGAGATAAACTGATCCTCGAGACAGCAATGAAGTTTCCCGTCGAGCGTCGAGGGTTGTATACTATTTTATTTTTAACCATAATTTTTTGAAAAAAAAAAATTCGGGGCAACCAAATGAGGTCAGGAAATGAGGAGGAAAATGAGGACGGGAAATATTTCCCTGCTCCATTTTCCGTCCGTGGACGGGAAATGAAGACGGAAAAAATTTCCCGTCCTTATTTCCCGTCCGTATTTCCCGTCCTGGGACAGGTAATGAAGCAGGAAAATGAAAAGACAGAAATGTGACATTTTCAAATTTTTGAAAAGTCTGTAATGACAAAATTTCATATATGGTTAAAAATAAAAGAGATTATCGCGTTTATTCTGGATTTTACAAAAATAGAATAAGGTGAAGGTGTAAATATAAAGCCTGGTATTAGTTAGTAGTTTTCAAGTTTAAGATTGGCTGTGATATGTTTCAAATAGTGATTATTGTAAGAGTTGTAAAGAGTTAGGTTGTTTGAGGTAACAGACCCTGAGATAGGGCCTGTTTAGTGGGGTCATTTTTTTTTGTCTGGCATTTTAAGGGCTGAATGTAGCTAGTTAGCGGATGAGAATATAAGTGATTTTAATGCCTGCTCCCTGTCCACAGAATCTTCAGCCGGAAAACTCGATTTCGAACTCTCATTACCGTCTGGCGACTTTTCAGCGTTATTTTCACAACAAAACCTTGTATTCTCTCGATTGCCAGACAAAAAGTGAACGCGGAAGATTATTTTCTTTTCTCTTGGAAGTTGAAACCCATTGCCACTTATTCAGCTATTGAACAGCATCTGGTATTTTTCATGGGTAAATTATTTATCCTTCTCGAGCGTGATAGGACATTTCCTTGCGAGTGCGCATATCCGTAAAAAAAAAAAAAAAAAAATATCAATGTCAATCTTTTATTTAAAAGTCGGAATATTTGAGATCATTAAAAAAAAAATCTTCAAGTAAATCAATTTTTTTCTTCTCCAAATTTTCGAACGGGGAGCAGGCATTAAAATCACCCATATTCTCATCAGCTAACAAGCCACATTCACCTCTTGAAATGCCAGACAAAAAAAAATGACTACACTACAATTATACACTGACAGTCTATAATTAGTGAAGTAATTACTATCAGAGTGTAGTTAGTACGTGGAAATTATTGTTGTGTTAATTGGCCTTTGATTTTCAATAAACTTACCCAAGATTTCTATCACGTAAGCCAGAGCCGTGACAATATGTTGAATTTACTTTTCGAATAATCTGTGTGTGCTTGTAATGTCAACCTGTTCAAGAGTATAAGACAAAGATTCCGCAGCGGTGACTTCAGAGCTGGTACACTACCTTTAAAATGAAATAAAAAAACATGTAAATACCATATGTTTTTATCGATGTGAAAGTGTCTATCTGTGACAGACGTGGTAAGTAAAGCTAGCAAACCGCCTAACCAAAGAGAAATCCAAAGTGTAAAATAGCGTAAAAGTATAACCTTTTCTTTAAAAAATTTCAATATTTTTGATCTTTTGAGTTGTGGAAGAGTTTTCAGTCGATCCACGAAATCTGTGACAATATGGTGCCAGAAGTTGATCATTTAGTTAGACAATTGCTAATTTAATTTGTTATAAATAGTGATACCAATAACGGATTAATTAAAACTAGGAAGATAATTAGCTAAACAATTAGTGCAACAATTTGAGCTGAATGATGACATGGGGATGTTTATGTATAGTGGACTAGTGAGTTAGTTCGAGCTGATTAGGAATATAATAAACTAATAAACTGAACCAGTGACTTGATAGCTAAATTTGACACCAACAAAAGTTCACAAACGTTTTCTATTGTTCTATATTGGGAAGGGGAAAGAGAAACAAGAATACAATTCTATTGGTCTTAACATCGAAAAGCAAGTCTGCATAGTAGGCACAAGCCTGGAAGAATGTGAAGCAGTACATGAAGCACGGGGGAGTGTTCGTCAGGAAGTTGGGATGGTTCATCAGTGAGTTGGAGACTTTCGCCAAGAAATAGATGATGTTAGGAAAAAATCAGAAAGGTGGAATCTGCTCAGGAAATATCTCAGCTTCGTTTGCAACCCCATCCCCCCTCCCTGCACCCGTCCTATTACGACGGTCATACATCATGAGCAATGTACCGGGTGGTTTTTTATCTTTGATATCATTTTGATCACCTGTAACTTTTTTGTTTTTTAAGATATCAAGGTAAACAAAAAAACAAAATGTAGGATCAATAGCCAAGTTTTTTTTGAAGTTACACATGAAACAAAACACTACCAATTTTCTGACATATAAGCCAACACTATATTTTTTTAAATGGAACACCCTGTATATTATATGTGTCTTCGATAGAACATATTATTCTGATTATAATGATATAGTACACTTCATATTTTGTTCCACTCTTTTTTGACAAATCGGCAAAAATATATGAAATTTTTATATGCTCTCAATAATTTTCGTCCCAAATATCAGACCCCTGCCTAATAAGTTTCACTTCGAATTATTAGGATGTTTGTTATTGTGTTTTATTATTTATTCCATTTTTAATTCAATGTGCAAGTTCCCTATTCATAAATAACCTTGATATTGCTTTTTTTCTATCAGAAGCCGGCCTGGGTTAAGCAGAAACCAGCTGAAAAGGGTGGCGCATGCAAGTCGTGATAATTTCAATTAACTGGGTATGGTATGTATTCTCTTGAGGGTAAATGCCACAGAACATAGATACCGCTTTGTCAGCGGACGAACATAAATAATCGTCTGGATGGTTTTTTTGTGGCCTTACAATTAATTTAGATGCGGAGTTGTTGGTTGATGATAGGTCAGTAAAACAGCTTAGAGAATCAAGATTTTGTATTGATCAACGTTTCAACCAATATATGGTCTTCCTCAGGATCATACAAGTTCCTGAGTATGACCATATATTGGTCCAAACGTTGATCAATACAAAACATTTGATTCTCTAAGCTGTTTTATTGACCTATCACCAACAAGCTATGATCTGTCATCCAGGCTACAAGTTTGTATCACAGCTGCGTTGTGCACGTACCCTTGCATATTTTACCAAAAACGGAAAAAGTAATTTTTTTTCAATTTTTTTTGGTCCAAATTGGTCTCTTGTAGCCTCCATAATTTATAAATAACATTGCGTGCTTTGATATTGATTTTTTCTATCGGAACCCACATAACAAAATTGCATCCTTAGAATGTATTAAAAATGTTATTTTTTTAGGAGGAATGTGCCTAGAATGTTCGCCAAAACCATTGCGAATGTCCTGAGAATGTTTTGAGAAAAGATTGTAGAAATACTGTTTGCAATACCCAAGAACTTCCTGGGAAATCCATTAGGATATTCCTAGAATATACCTATGAGATTCTCAGTACATCCTGAAAAGAATATTCCTGTTTGATTCTAAAAATATGTTCGAAATGTATATTCTCATATCCAAAGAATGTTTCTATGACATTATAGTTATGTTCTCAAAAGAATATTATACCAATATTCTTGAAATATTCTTAGAATATATGTACATATATCATTCTCAATATGTATCCTAGACATAACATTCTTGTTTGATTCTAAGGATATATTTGGAATGTTAATTTTCTTTTCCAAATAATGCTCCTTCTAGTCCTTTTATATTAAAGGCAGTGAAAGAATTGTTGGAAAATTTCTCTGGAAAACACAAGTGTTTAACCAAAGGTCCGGTTCCGAGCTTGTTATGCTCTCGTCGAAGCACGCCACCTGAGAGAAACAGGTTCCAAGGTGATTCAAACGCGAGGCAAGATGTAGATCTTTAATAGCGCGTGGCCCCCTTTCTTGGAAGTCATACAAAGCAAAAGAAAAAGAATATACCTATAATATTCTTAGTAGGTTCTAGATAGAGCATTATTGTTTAATTGTTCAATTAAGTTTTTGAGTAGGTACTTTAGATAATTAGGTGAACAATATGGAAATATTCTTATCATGGGTACCTACCTAGATTAACTTCTCAGCACAACTTGGTAGGTATATTCTTAATACTTGATAGAGATCTTAGCCGAAAAAACATTTTTTAGGGTACATTATAATAATGTTCGTATGAGAATATTCGAATAATGTTATATAAAGTAGGTTCTTAGCACAATCTTTCAGGTAGGTGCATAGAAGCAACATTCCTAGTACATAAATAGAACGTTCAAAAATTAATATTTCAATCGAAACAATCTTAGAATATTCATTGAACATTCCTAAAAGAACATTCCAAAAAGCACTTTGAGGGAATATTCTGAGAATATGAATGTTCTTTCACTGTTACGTGGGAAGCCGTCCTGGGTTAAGCAGAAAGCAGCTGAAAAGGGTGGCACAACTATCCACAAAAATTAAAATTATTCTTCTTCTAGGAAGCCGACCTATTTATTGGAGACATGGGAATAACTTACGAAAGATCCAGTGCCGTAGAATTTACCTTTATAACTCTTGCAGATAGTGGAGCTTTTGTTACCCACGCACCTAGCCAACTCAATGAAGCTTTGGCACTTTTAAGGCCGTTTCAATGGCAAGTACGTATTAACAAAAACAAATATCTCGAAACTTCATAAATGATTTCAGGTTTGGCCAGCTATTGGAGTAACTTGTATTGTAGTAGGACCATTTCTCTATGCCATAATTGCATTGCCAAACGTATGGCAACCTCGGTTTAAAGTGCGATCACATGCCAGGTTGTTTTTTGATTGTACTTGGTTTACAATTACTATTCTGTTGAAACAAAGTAAGAAAAATTAAGTCTTTTATTATTTTCTTTTTTTTATTTATTTAGCAAATGTACGTATATTTTTATTCTATTTATTTTTTGTATTTTTTTTTTCTCGATGTGTTCATGAGCATATAAATACAGGGTGTCCCAGCCAAAACTGAAGCATTCTAATAGCTTATATCCTCGGAGCTAAAAAAGATAAAATGATGCGGTTTGCACCATATCGTTATTTAATTTTCTAACGAAAAATGCACTCAGATCCTCAAAATTTGAATTATATTGGATGACGCGTCGCGAAGTTACGTTAGTTTCCTTATATTAGTTTAGTGCGCCTATTTATTGCATTTAGTCATAATTTATGTTTAGATCGTATTTTTTTTTAGCTGGAAGGACACCAAGTAATACACATAAAGCAAGACTTTTTATAATTCTCCTTTCCATTTCTGCTACTTACGTCATTACGGATATGTATTCGGCTAATCTGACATCTTTGCTAGCTCGTCCAGGAAGAGGTATGTCTAATATTTTCTTCAATTTGGTTGTAGCTCGTTAATAAAATTTTTAGAAAAGGCCATAAACAATTTATATCAGCTCAAAGACGTGATGGAATCCAAGGACTTCAAACTTTTTGTTGAAAAGCATAGTCCATCATTTGGACTCCTAGAGGTAAGTGGGAAATATTTTATTGTCAAAAAAAAAAGCTACCTAAGGTTCATTTCACGAAGGTTTGTAATTATGACATCGAAAATGTCATAACTTGGAAAAAAAAGGTTTGTCTAAGGTATGTTTTTTTTTAAAGAAAAAAGTCAAAATGACATTATGTTGGCAATACAATGTAAAGTTGTCACTGCTTTCAAATTTTTTATGTAGAAAAGGCTTGTGTTGCCAACATAATTACTAAATTTTTGACTTGGAGAATTATCTTTAAAAAAAAACAGACTATTTTTTTATTTTGCCAAAATATGATTATTCTGAAAGTTATACAAATATAGTATATACTATTAAAAATCTATCTATCGATTTATAATTTTAAATTTTACAGCTGTAGATTAGACTCGTGTACAAAGGTCATAATGATATTATTAATACGCGTATCAGATTGAGCTAACAAGTTGAGAATTTTAAAAGGGCTTTGTATGTTCTTAACTTGGAAAAGGTTTTGAAAAAAGTTTTCTCTTTGTTGTGTGTATTTTAAGCATCGAAAAAACAAATTATTTAAGTCGGAACGAACATAACAGAAGTCACATAGGTCCGAATTGCTTATTTTAATTTTAAAAAGGTGTGCAGGAAAGCACGCATGCCCAAAACGAAGTCTATTGATGGTTGTAATATATTTTCTAGCTACATTCATCTCATCATACCAAGGTTTTGGTAGTAGAGTTGGTTGGATTAGAGCATAATTGGTTTGACTGTTACTAACAAATGTTTCCCAATTACGTTTTCTTTTGTTGATTATACTATTTTTGATCATTCTGCTACCCTCCGATACGCAGGGCTGGATATGGACGATGTCCCCATTGTGAACTGCTTCTTTGGCGAGGTGATCGGCTAATTCGTTACCATAAAGGCCCATGTGAGCTTTCGCCCAGATAAAGATAATTCGTTTGCCTTTTTTCTGTAATCGATACCAGAGCTTTTTGATATCATGTAGGACTGTATTGATTTTATAGGACCATGTACGTAAATATAAGAGAGCTGTTAGTACTGATTTGGAATCCGATATGATTATGTTTGTGTTATATTTAGTATTAGATATGAGCTCAATTGCTTTTAGTATAGCAATGGCTTCAGCAGTAAAAATGGATATGTCGCTGTCTATTTTGTATTTTTTTGTTACGCTATATTCCCTATTGTACGCATAAAAGGCGGCTCCAACACCATCCTTATTTTTAGATCCATCGGTATAAATGTGCAAAGCATTTTCATACTGTGAAAGCTCAGCACGCAAAATGTTTATGTTTATAGTAGGTATTTCTGTATATTGAGAAAACTTTACAGTTACATTCTGGGCCAGACTAAAATATTCTATACCCAAAATTGAGTGAGTGTTAACACTATTAAAGAGAGAATTATAATCTCTATAAGCTAGACATAGCGGAGGTGATTTTTTTTTTGCCAAAAGGTATTTGTTAAGTCTGAGACATTTAATATCGATATATTTTCTAATAGTGGTGTTTGTAAAAGAAAGTGTTTTAAAAGGAACTTGGCACTAAGGAGCTTACGTCTTAAAGGCAGTGGTAATTCAGTAGCCTCTGCCAACAGTGGTTCAATTGGAGTTGACTTCATAGCTCCTAGGCATAATCTTAATGCTTTATATTGTATTCTGTCAACTTTTTGTAGATGTGTTTTTGCTGCTGATCCATACAAGGTGCATCCATAATCGATAATAGATCTAACATATGCTCTATAAAACATAAGGGATGTTTTGACGCCGCAGCCCCACCAAGTTTTACAGACACTTCGAAGAAAATTTAAGCCTTTCTCACTTCTAGTAATTATTGATTCAATGTGTGGATTCCAAGTGAGTTTCTTATCTATCATAACACCCAAATATTTAACTACTGTTTTGAAAGGGATATCCAGATTGCATAGATTTATGGTGGGTGTTATAGGAGTATTATGTCTTGTAAAAAGGCAGAAATTAGATTTATTTACTGAGAGATCGAAACCATTATCATCGAGCCAATTAAGTACTTTATAAAGTCCTTCCTCTAATAAATGTATTGACTGCTTATATTTTAGATGTTGTGTATAGAAGCAAAGGTCATCAGCATATTGCACGATACTTAAATTTGTTATTTTTTGCAGGTCAGCTGTATATAAATTAAAAAGAAGGGGGCTCAAGACTGACCCCTGTGGTAAACCACAAAAGGCATGTTTCGGACCTAACCTATCATTAGAATTATTTCTTAAGTAAACACGTCGATCTCGATATATATTTACGATGGAAAATGCAATATTGTTTGGTATACGAAAATATTGTATTAGTTTTTGTTCTAAAATATCGAGATTCACCGAATCATAGGCACTTGTTATATCAAGGAACAGCGATGCGAAATATTCATTTTTTGAATACGAGTTTTGTATGTCTGTAACAATATACGTGACAGCATCTATTGTGCCATAACCCTTTCTAAAACCAAACTGATTAGACGGAAGTAAGTTTTGATTAAAAAGCCAAAATTCCAATCTAGATTTTATAAGTCTTTCAAGTGTTTTTAAAACGCAAGATAACAATGAAATTGGTCTATATGATTTTGCATCATTTGGATCCTTATTAGGTTTTTGGATAGGCACAACTAAAACTTTTTTGAATTCTTTTATTGTGATACCATGAATGAATATTTCATTAAAAAGGTCCAACAACATTTCCTGGGCCTTTAAAGGTAAATTTTGCAGCATGCAATATTTAATATCATCATACCCAGGGGCAGTGTTTTTAGTTGATTTAATGGCATTGTTTAATTCAGAAATTAAGAAAGGTCTACATAGGAAATGATTGTGATCTATAGAGAAAGTAATGTTAGGGGGTTTGGGTAGGACAGAGGGAGGTGTTATGTTGTCATAGAATTCATTTAACCAGTCATCTTTTTCTGGTTTTTTGTATGCAGTTACTCTGTTCATTTTACGTGCTTGCGACCATATTTTGGTGGAGGGAGTATTTTTATTTAAATTGGAACACCAATTACACCAGCTGGCTCTAGCTTTAGACTTAAAAAACTTTTTAGTTTCAGCTTGCACTTTTTGGCAGTTTAAATAATTTTCCAAACTTGGGTTTTGTTTATATAATTTCAGGGCTTCCTTTCGTCTAAGCAACATAGGGTCACAATCTTGTGTGTCCCACCATGGAGCTGGTAATTTATTTTTAATTAAAAATGGTTTAAGTTTAGGTATAAATAGGTCAGCAGCAGTGTTAATACATTCAGTGAGAAAATCATATTTTTCAATATTATCGACAAAGTTAGGGGTATTTAACATCAATTGATCTATATAAGTATAGTAACCATTCCAGTTAGCTTTATTAACATTCCACTTTGTTTTTGGATGAATTATCTCAGAAAAATTTGCGTTGTTATATTCAAGTAGTATATTTATCGGGAAATGGTCAGATCCCAATGTATCTGATTCAATGCTCCACAGTGCTTTGGAAGCTAAATCTGGTGAGCAAAAACTCAAGTCTAAAACCGATTTGTTGCATCCCGGCCGTTGCACCCTTGTACTATCACCAGTGTTCAAAAGTATGTAGTCAAAATCATCAATTAATTTTGAAATTTGTATTCCAGTAGAGTTATTTTTGTGTGAACCCCACAAGGTACTATGTGCATTGAAATCACCTCCGACTATAAATGGAGGTAAAATTTGAGAGCTAATGTTGCTCCAATCACTAAAGGAGGTATTCACATTAGGTGGTTTGTACACTGATAAAAAGGTTACTTTTTTGTCACCAACTAAAATTGTGGCACCGCAGATATTAATGCCTGTATTAAAATTCTGGTCTAAAGTTATGATACGGTACGCTAGGTTTTTTTTAATTAATATAGCTACACCCGCTTTACCATCTGCTCTATCCTTCCTTATAATATGGTACTCCTTAAAACTTACATTGTGGCCTGGCTTGAGCCAGGTTTCACAAATTAAAGCAACATCAATATTGTATTTATTTAAATAAATTTCAAAACTTTGTTTATTTGATATTAGGGAACGAACTTTCCACTGCATTATTTTGATTTGAGTTGAATTAGCCATTCGGATTACGAGTTATAAGTGGAAGTTACAATAAGTTCAACCATTTCTTTTTAAGGCTAT